AAGAGAGGGGACCTTGATTCGAGGCGGGCAGCTAACAATAAATTTCCACGACATGGACTTCGATAGCGGCGCAAGAACCCAACTCTCGATCGTAGGACCGTCTTGAATTACTACCGACTGCAATGCGCAAATAACCGCTGTGCTGGGCACGATTGATGTTTCGTCGACTGGGTATCGCATTCTCGGCGAGGCGCAATGTTGCGACAATGGCGACACCTACCAGTATCCCAACTGAGCCCTTACTGGTGATTCTTGGTTCAACAGGAACCGGGAAGTCAGAGGTAGGAGCAAATGGATAGAGCTCCCCCGTATCTTGTGTGGGATTGAATATACAGCCGCTGACTGCCGGACACAGCTAGCTGTTGAGCTGGCCACCAGATTTCGTGGAGAGATTATCAACGCCGACGCAATGCAGCTTTACAATGGACTTCCCATTATCACCAACAAGATCACCGTCCCCGAACAAAAAGGCATTCCTCACCATCTCCTCGGTCACATTTCTCTTCACGAAATCCCCTGGGATGTCGACGATTATACACGACAGGCGAAAAAGACCATCCAAGAGATCCGCAGTAGAGGGAATCTACCAATCGTTGTCGGAGGCACCCAATACTATGTTGACCCTCTCATCTTCAAGGAAGTCACACTGGGCGACCTGTACTCAAACGAAACGGCGACGTTCCCGATTCTGGACGAGCCGACGGAAGTGATTCTGGCCGAACTGCGCAAGGTCGACCCCGCCATGGCGAGCAGGTGGCACCCGAACGACAGGCGGAAGATCCAGCGATCGCTTGAAATCTACCTTCGCAGCGGGAAGCCCGCCTCGGAGTTCTATGCTGAGCAACAAGAACGCAAAGCTACCCTGACTGGTGATGTGGAGCAGGGCCCCTGGGAAAATCTGATGTTTTGGGTATATTCAGACCGTGAGGTTCTCAAGACCAGGCTGGATGGGCGTGTTGACAAGATGCTCGATACCGGCCTGCTAGATGAAGTGCGCGAGTGCCATGAATTCAAGCGTGGCAGAGAGGCAGCGGGCTTCAAGGTTGACATGACCCGTGGGATATGGCAGTCGATTGGCTATCGGCAGTTTGAGCCATATCTGGATGCTGCTGTCAAGGGCGAAGACGCCTCAGCGTTGGACGATCTGAAGGCGACGGCTCTTGAGGACATGAAAGTAGCCACGCGTCGATACGCAAACCACCAAAACCGCTGGACTCGTCTCAAACAGTTTCCGCTCCTCGTAGAACAGGGACCGGAAGCAGTGGATAGTCTCTACCTCCTTGATAGTACTGACGTCTCTCATTACAAGGACAATGTCGTAGAACCGGCCGCTGCCATAACGGCGCAGTTCCTTAAAGGCGAGCAGAGGCCGCACCCAGTAGATATATCGCAACTAGCGCGTGAGGTGCTCTCTACTGCCAGAGAGCCTCCTCCCAAGGCTGTACCTTGTGAGCGAACATGCGAAATCTGTGGCACAGTGGCAACCACAGAGGAGATGTGGCGAAGACATGTCAGAGGAGCAAGCCACAAACGGGCGATGAAGAAAAGAAAGAGGCTGGCTTTGGTGCCTGTGGATCAAACTGGGGATGGAAACGAAGATCCTGCGAGCGAGCGAAGCTCGAGTCCCGAGTTAGGCTCAATATTTTCTTGAATGAATAGAACTCGTGAAGCAACTAGGAGGGCACTCGCAATTGATTGAGAATCACCTGATGATGGGTGTCTTGCTCGGTTAGCTAGTCGCTGAGCCTTTGGTTTCTGGAATCTATTCGTTCTGGGTATAATACCCATGAATCCTACGTGTCCTTCGGTTCCCCAACACATGGACTTGAGTCATTGTGAGAGCTGAATTGGACATTGATATTTCTGTGACGCGTCGCTGCATCCCTTGCCTGTTTCTACGCCTCTTCTTCCGGACATCTTCGTGAGCAAGTTCACTCACGTTACGACTGTCAATGAGCTGGTGGACGAACACCGGGGAAATCTAATCTCCGTCTTCTCACCAGCATCCGGATACTTTCAATCCCGGATGCTTTTGAGTCTCAATATGGTTGTAATCGACGAGCAATCTTGCCATCTGGCCTCATCGCATGCAATCTAGCCAGACCTGGCCGCCTCGTCTGGAACCTCCTTGCAATCAAAGCTGCCTCTGACATGGCCTGAGTTGAGAGTCCGAGACCGTTGCAATGACCGCCGTAGTCAGGGGAATTGTGGCTGTGCATTCCAGCTTCGAGATCTTCATTGGCTTATAGTCGTTCCATGTGATAGCCGGCGCCCCCTTTTCACCCCAGAACAAATACAGAAATACCGAAGCTACGTTTTTTATCGGCCGGGCACTTGCGCAATGTAAAAGCGATCGGATTTGGGTGACCGCTAACCCGCGCACTCGTATCGCTCATGCAGGTTTCGCTTGTCTCGTTTAGCCGCTTGTGCAGACTTCGGTTTCGGATCAGCTGGCCTGGCCGGCCCCTTCCGACTTTCACGGTCCGTATGGAGAACTGGAAGAAGGTTGAAGAATCCGAGAGACGGTTTTTGCATTATTTCTCGGGGATTCGGCTGTTCTATATGTTGGGGTTTCGGAAATTTTTAAAATACCGAAGAGGCCGTGTAAAGGAGAGCCTCCATGCATTCATTATGCGCATTGAGTTTCGCGAGGCATTGACCTCGGACGATCAACCGTTTGTGACCACAACGCTGGTGCTTCAACGGCGATTTGCGCGGCCCCAGGGGAGAAAAAGCCTCAGCTATGAGCTTGCAATGAAACTTCTACATGATTCACATGATGCGTTGTCTTGCTAGAGTCATAATGATCATGCGCGCAATATTCCGGGAGTGTCCGGGTCGAAGATTCCATGTTTTCATGATGGATAGAGATTTACCACAAGCAGCGCTGCTAGGCGGCGCCATGCCTGTAAATTAGCACTGATCGCCCATGGTGGGCACACGCGGGCAGCCACTAAAAATACGCGTACAGAGGTATCCCTCTCCCCGGGGCTGTTCCTTAGCGGACACCTCGCCTCTAGCGTCCTTGCATACACGGTTCACTGTCGCGCAGGCTTGGCAGGGTGAGCATGTTGCATGTGAGTCATTGCCTGGTCTGAAAAAGGGACGAATTGGGGCGTCTGACTGGTGGTATGCTAAGACAGAAATGTAGGCATGACAGAGGCTTATACTGTTTATGGCAGGTAGAATTCTGAATCAGGTCTTGGATCTCACCATGCGGCTGGCCGGTAGTTCAGCGCTGAAGGCTGCTATCACAGGTAAAGATCCACAGAGAAGCCTCTGTTTGTCAGCTTACAAGCCCTGGGGGGAGACAGCAGTATGGGAAACTCAGGTCGGTATGGTGGTCTCGTGCTATCTCTCGCAAACAATGATATATTGGACATGGAGAGACCGAATGCGAGCAGGAACTCGCAACGAAGTGTTGATAACCTCGTCATATCGAGCCATCGTCGTCGCCATCCAACCTTGTTGCCTGGCATCACAGGTCGCTGCAGCTTGACTTGTGTGCAGCACACTAGTCCCTAGGGCAATACCTTGTTCAGTATCGGCCGTCTGCAACTGAAATGTGGCTAGAAAAAAAGCAGGCTCGCTGACGTAGATGGTTTGCCTAGCAACTTAAAATTGCGACCGAGCATGCGGAGTTTCGAGTGGATTTTAGGTGCTATCCGGCCTGAGCCAGAGACGAGCTAAGTAGTATATGGAAAATCCAGAGGGAGATGCGCCATCCACTGATGCCTCATGAGGTAGCAGTCGCGCGCGACGCTGCGGCGGGATTGATGGGAGCCCGGATCGTGGTTGCAGGCGGTACTCCGAAGCGGGCGGAGTTATCCCTCAGTCCATGGACTTTGGCGGAGGTGGGCAGGGAGCAAGGATGGATCCCCATGGATGTGACCGAGATTGATTGCCTGCGCGATTGTCTCGTCGGCCACTTTCATCAGTCGGAGGGATAATTACCAGCGGACATGACATTGAACCATCCATTGCGCCTCGGTGGTAGGGAGCAGGTACCGTATGATCCTCTAATGTATATTTGCATTGGCGCATAAATAGGTAGGTGACAGCCGATGCCAGCGCACCAGAGCGGCACCTACCAGCTGTATTAAGGTACCTGCACACTGGTTCTAGCAGCTTCGTTCGGCGACATCTGGGGGAGCTGTGAACCCTGAGGTACCTACTTGTAGTGCTCCATACCCGCCAAACCCAAACTCAGCCCAGAGCCTGGATCTCACCTCATCCCCCCAGCTGTCTGCCCTCCCACCTGATTCAGTATCTGAGCAATCCCCCACCATCCAGAGCCATTCCATGCCGGTGGTGGCGTCTTTTCGCTCTGCACAACTCTGCACAAGTCGCCAACGCCTTCAGCTCAGCTCAGATCAGAGCACTCTATGAGTACTGTACCCGTCATTCTCGCTCAGCCTGAACCAATTCCATCAGGCTCCATCTTTTACGTCTTTTGACTCTTCCCCATCTCAGCCACCCAGCGGGGTCTCTCTTATTGTTCCTCCTCTATCGCGGCTCTTATTATTACCCAACTGCGCCTTCGCTGTACCTGCCCAAAACCCACCAGGCCTATTTTTCTCCCATGACGGCATTCGGCAGCTTTCAAACCATTCCCGCCCACCCCCCAACACGTACCTGGTAACTGCAGACCTGCTGCATTTCCAACCTCGCTGCGTCAAGCTCTCCCGCCGACTTTGTACTACTTCGTTTGCCCGGTTTCAATACAACGCCCGCATCTCTGGCCAGCAGGACGGAAGAGAGCCCGGCAATTGACTTCTTCCACCCTTAACTTCTTCCAACTCTCGTGCGCTGCTCTGACCTGGTTCGCAAACACCTACAAACGACACTCGTCGCACAACTAAAGTCAATCCTAAGATTGCCACCCTGGCCGTGTCTCTACTGGATCACCCCTTGCGTTCAGCGGCTCGTCCCATGAGAGCTTCACATCTCCTGCACATGACACACTCGTGATTCGATTGTGTGTGCCGCCATGTCGAACAATGCAACACCCATCATTTCACATAGGCACCCCCGAGTTCTCGCCTGTGTCCTGTGCCAACATCGCAAGATCAAATGTGATCGCAATACCCCGTGTTCAAATTGTATAAAGGTGACTGCACATCTACCAATCCGTCTCGTCTAATTGCCCATCGTCCCAACTCTCAGTTGAACCCCCCACTTACCAAGTTTCTCCAGGCCAATGCCACTTGCACACCCAGCACACCAGCTCCGGCTCGCAAGCGACGCCGGCCAAACCAAGATCTCCAAGAGCGCCTAGCCCGGTGTGAAGAGCTTCTCAAGCAATATGCTGGTGGTTCTGTCCCTTCCCAGGCTGACCTCCAAGCAGCCGCACCATCCGTAGCCTCTGTGACGACCCCTGCCTCAACCTTCAAAGCGGAAACATCGGACTATTCGCCCACGTTCGATGACTTCCCGGATCGCCGGCACCCCGGAAAAGTAATTCATCAAGATGGGGGTGTTCGTTTTATAGATAGCCAACTTTGGTCGACTTTCTATGACGAGGTGGGTTTTCTCCGCACAATGTCCCCTCTCCCAGTACTCTCTCTAACCCAGGGTTGTCATTCAGCTACAAGCTATGCGAGAAATTGTAGATGCCGACGATCCTGAGGGATCTAGTGTCTTAGGGACTGAGGGCCATACTCCTGAAAACAACGCCGACGTACTACTGTTGTCTGACAGCTCTTCCGCAAACCCCGAAGACTACCAACCTGACCCGGTCCAGGCCTTCCGGTTATGGCAAATCTTCCTGGACCGCGTCAACCCGCTTACAAAGATCGTACACGTTCCCACCTTGCAGCCGTACGTAATTGAGGCAACCAGTGACTCGTCCGGTGTGCCTCTGAACTATCAGGCCCTACTCTTATCCGTTTACCTCTTAGCCAGCATATCGTTACAGGACACCGAATGCATGCAACTAATTGGGATTTCTCGAGACCAAGCTGTCCAGAGGTTTACAGCTGGCACTAAACAGGCGTTGATTAAGCTGGACTTTCTACGCAACTCTGATATGGCCTCGATTCAAGCCTTGGTCTTGTTTCTTGTAAGCGGGTTGACATGTGTTTTATGTATGTGGAGTAACATGACTGACTGGAGTAGTATTCACTTCAAGGTCGCTATGATAGGCACGCCGCCTGGGTCTTGAGTGGCACAATCGTGCGTGTTGCTCAGAAAATGGGCTATCATCGCGACGGCGAGTTGCTTGGTCTCACGCCGTTTGAGACCGAGATGCGAAGAAGAATATGGTGGCAAATTCTAATGCAGGACACAAAGCTTGCGATTGTGTCGGGTGTGATACACAACACTATTCAGGATAGTTACGACACGAAACCACCCCGGAATCTGAACGACGCCGATCTATTTCCCGGTTCTACAGAACCTGTACAACCTCGCGAGGGCCCGACGGAGATGGCATTTGTTCTCATCACCAACCGACTCACCAAGTTTATGCTTTCAGAGAGCTCGAGAATGGGGTTCGAAAGTGCTATCATGGGACACGACCCAAGCAATGCAGATGAGCCCCAAGATCCCAGTATCAAGGCGAAATATAAGGCTATTATTCAAGAGCTCGATAGGGATTTGTTAGATATCGAGCAACGATATTGCGACCCATCTGCTGGAAATGTTCACAGCGCTGCTCTGACTATCAGGGCCATGCTCATTCGAAAGCTAGATGAGATGCTTGTTCCTATGCAAGAGCAGCCGGAATGGGGAACCGAGATTTTCGAGCCCAAAGACAATCTGGTCAAGCTTGTGCTTATGAACAACGAACAGAGCGCTGACGCCTACGATCGGATGGCACCTTTGGGATTTCTCTGGTTCGTTAAGCTGCATTTCCAGCTCGAGGTCTTTGGCGTTTTGACTGGCCAACTTGCCAAACGGCCAACAGGGTCTTTGTCGGATCGAGGTTGGAGAATCGTGGAGAAAGTCCACCGCTGGCAGCCTGAACTGTTTGATGTGTCGATCAAGGCCTATGCTTCTCAGGCACAGTTCACTCTCAAGGCCTGGAAGGCCCGCGAAGCAGCCTATACTGCCCTTGGACAACCCATCGAAATACCGTCGTTTATTTCACGCCTCCGGGAACTCGTTCCTACATCAGATTCTAGAGCGTCAACGCAATCTTGCATGACGTCTCCCCAAATGCCCCCACCACAACAGACCATCAACGATCTTGACCAATTTCTTGGCGGCTACTTGGATGTCTCCTCCTTGAGCTGGGATATGTGGGGTGACATGGCGAACACCAACAGCAATAATAACAATCATCAAGTATCAGGTGCATTCTTCAATGGCTTTTCTTTGGGCTCGGAGATGGGTGGCAAAGGTGCCAACCCCATGCAATAGGTACAGAACCAGGCCTGGCGTTTTGGCGCTCCTCGTTTCAAGGAGCAGGTATTTCGGGATCCAGACTCGGCATTTATAACTGGACGATATCAACCTGGTGTTTATTGATATATAATAGGTTTTGAATGGGCGATGGGGTTTATTTGCACATATTTTCACGGACAATTAACGGGAATAGAACGGAGTATATGAGGAAACACGAGGCATCGATGACAGAGACGAAAGGTGTTGGTTTAGTGTATGATATCTGGGATGGTGCCAAAATCCCCTGGCATGAGTTGCGTTAAGCTTGTGTACTAGTTCGGAGTCCAATCCCCCCTTAGATCAACCGTCACCGAATAATTGAAAACAAAGCTAGGTTGACAATATTTGGACCATCTCTTGTCGTGTTGTAGAGGGATGTCTGAAATATCGCGGAAGAGCAGGGGTTGGTAGTTCATGAGGTGGACACCATATTCGCCAGCCACCTGAGTTCTGAACACACTGGAAAATCCTTTCGTTTTTACGCCCATAACCCCAGAATTTGATATTCTGATCGCGAGGGAATGATGCCAGCTTTGGGCAGGGTAGTCAGTAATTCACTCTGGGAATGGAATATGATCTTTTATCTACTTGGGAGAGTATCTATGGCACAACTACGCAACGCTCGGTTTGAGGGAAGAAATGTAGATCTCAAAAATGAAACGACACCCAGACGAAGAAAACCAGATGTCGAGATTAACGACGGATCAATTGCTCTCCAAACACCCATGGGTCGCAAAGACCTTGCCTTAATTGCTGCCAGTGAGAGTTAGGCAGCACGCGGCGGGAGTTCGTGTCTATCTGAAGAGCAAGAAGAAACAAAAAAAGGGAGCGAGAAATTCTGTCAACCAAATTGTAGGCGGAGAGGCGCGAAACTCCTTAGTCAGCACTCATTTTGGGTTCTCCGCACGTGATCCAAGAAACGAACTACGGGAATGGCATCACGTGTGCCGATTAGCGATGAGGAATTCGCCCTCGCTGATTGGCGGGCTGGGCCGAGGAGCCGACCCAGGACCTATTCCGAGAAAGGGCGAAACATCATCGTCCAGCTCGCTCTGGATTGTGGAACCCATCCGGCTTTACGGTGTCTCTGCGGAATCTCGAAGTGAAGACATCGACGGCGACAGCACGAACACACGCAATCCCTCCCAGCTTCAGAGAGGAAGCAGGACCCGTCATCTCCGCTTGATCACCCCGCCAATCCAACATCACAATGATCGCCCAACGGGTCGGCCTCGCGGCCATGCGAGGTATGTAACAATTTGGTTGCTTTTGCGCCTCGGCTTTCGCGCGAATGCCCTCAATCGCAGCAACACAAGGCTAATTGCTCTCCCTCAACAGGCGTCGCTAAGCCCAACGGCCTCTTGGTCGCTCAGAACCTCCCCAAGCTGGCTCTCGCTGCCCGCCTGCCCGCTCAGCAGTTCCGGTACGTCGTCGGGCACTTCTCACATCAAGGCTCCCGCTCCATGAAGCTCCGTCATTCTCCTCCCCCCCATATCATGCTGACCCTCTCCCTCAGTGCCGCCGCCACCACCTCGAAGGTCTCCCTGACCGAGGGCCAGGACATCCTCGTCAAGCAGCGCCTCGCCCGCCCCATCTCCCCCCACCTGGGCATCTACAAGCTCAGCCAGGTCTGGTTCTCCTCCTCCGCCTGGACCCGCATCACCGGCTGCGTCCTCTCCGGCAGCGCCTACGCCTACTTCGCGACCTACCTCGTCGCCCCCTTGCTCGGCTGGCACGTCGAGAGCGCCAGCCTCGCCGCCGGCCTCGCCTCGCTCCCCTTTATCGTCAAGGGCCTCCTCAAGTTCACCCTCCTCGCCTTCCCCTTCTCCTACCACTTCGTCAACGGCATCAGGCATCTGGTCTTCGACATCGGCAAGGGCTACACCAAGCCCCAGATCAGGAGGGCAGAGCAGTTCGCCTGGTCGGCCAGCATCCTCGCTGGTCTTTTCCTTGCTTTCGGCCTGTAGAGAAAATGGTGGTGTGGTGTAACAACAACAAAACATGAAGGGGGCGGGGGCAGCATGTTGCGAATTAAAGGAGTCCGCCGGGTTCTGGAATTAAAGAGAGAAGAGTAGGGGGGGGAAGGGATTGACCATACATAATGGTTATATTTCGTAGGAAGATTCTGTGTTAGCCTCTTACAAAAATCAACAATGTAGAAACGATCAGGGGCGCGAGTGTTGAGATTATTCTTTTTATTTGTCTATCTCAAGACCCGAGGATGGTCTCTCGCTTAGTTCTCAGTTTCCTAGAAAATTATGTGTTCCCAATCCCAAACGCCGTTCGCCCCAACTAAGAAGCAAGTGTTTTTTTATTCGTGGTGAAGCCAGCCCGCCCAATGCGTCGTATAAACTAACCTAGGTTTCGAGCCTCGAGCACGGTGGTGATCAGCTTCCGGTTCTTGGAGGCTGCGATCCTCTCGCCCACGATTGGTCCGATCCATTCCTTCAGCTCCGTGGTCTCCGACTCCGATGCCTCCACGTCCATGGGGACAATCCCCGGGTCTTCGTGGTCGGCCAGCGAAGCTACGGCTTGAATCAAGCCCTGGACAAGCATGGTGAAGTCGATTGATCCCTCCAACCTGGTCTTGAGTGGTTGTAGGATGTTCTCGTCGAACGGCTTGAGGTTCCTCAGTACGAGGACACGGATGGCCTCGGGGCCTCCCGCCTCGCGCAAGCCCTGGACGGCACCGAAGAGAACGGCAGGGGGCTTCGTCGGGTCCAGGAAGTACTTGAGGCAGGTTCTCGTGAGCTTGGGCCGTAGTAGTGTGTTGGAGGATGAGTATTTGTGGGCGATGCGGCCGACCAACGAGGCGGCGAGCTGTCGCAGCTCGTACTGCTCCTTGAGGCCATCCTCGCCATTGTCGGTGCCGAGCTTCCTCGCCATGAGACATGTGAGGACAGGGGCCGACAGAGGGCTGGCGTAGGGGTCCAGGAACAAGGTCTTGTTCTCGATCAGGGCGTTGGTGAGCTCCATCATCCGCTTCAGGGTGAAGGTGTCGTCGAGGTTGTGCGTGACTCGATCCATGATGAAATTTATAAAGTACGGGACGAGCTGATGCAGCCCGGGGTCATCTCTGACGGAGCCCAATGCCGCCTGTCGAAGGCGCACCACTTCCTCATCCGGGTTCTCGTCGAGGATTGCGGCCTGAATCTTGTCAAAGTATAGGATCAACTCCTTGCTCACTATGTGCTTTATCGAGGGCTTCATAGAGGGGTCGTCGCTTCCTGCAAGTGCTGAGAGTGCTGGGTTGGTGCCAGGGCCCTTGGGTAGAAGCTCCTGTGATCTCGATTCGGCCGAGGTTGGGTTCTGGGGGATGGATGGCTGGACGCCTTCAATCGCGAGCCAGTGAGCTAGACTCGAGCAGTTAGCAGAAGGCTCGTTGCACCAGAATAAGCTGATGGGAGCCCACCCGTAAGACTCATATCTCGCGGCACCTTGGGCAAGGGCGCATTGATGAGCTTCTCGAAATCCACCTCTTCGTCGTCCAGATAAAACAAAGGCTGGCCAGGTCCCATGCTGGCCTCGCCGAATCGCAGCGGGCGAGTCGAGTCGTACCCATAGAGAGGCTCGGCGTCGAGGGTTCTGAGAGCGAGGGAGACGTCATTGACCGTCATGGTTGTGCGACGAGCGGCGCGCATCAGGCGCAGGGCTTCGATAATGACTTGACCGATGCGGTATTCGACATCTTGGGTAAGGGTCTTGAGGGCCTCCTCATTCAAGGAGCTGATGCCAACGGACTCGGCAACGTCTTTCACGTTCTCCGAGTTCCAGAGGAGCTTTGGCTCCCCACTAGCCATGATGTTGATCGTTTCTGCCGAGGTGTTGCTGTTGGAGGGGGATTGAGAATAGCGTGAAGTGATGGAAGAGCTTCACGCATCAAGAGGTACGTACTGCTCACTAGCCACACACGCGCCTAGCAAGCCCCATCCACTGTCCAGCGTAAGCCACATGAGCTTTGCTCTCACTCACACTTACACCTCGGAATATCTACAAGTCTGGATTACAATTTCGATGTGAGTGAAAATGAAGTGTTTCAAATGAGCGTGGGGAAATAAAACTAGCTAAATATACAAAAATATGTAAGCAATACAATAACATGCCCATCCTCTCATCCACATGTATCGTTGATTCTCCCTACTTGCGAGCCTTCTCCTTTGGCTTCGCGCTTGATCTGTTCCTCCCAACTGCCTTTCTGTTCATTTCCGGGATCTTGTACCCGCTGTCCCGTTCTCCGCGGTGCCTTGCCCAAAAGTCGCTTGCCTCCTTCTTCAGCCCGGCCCTCCTCCCATCACGGGGCTTCTTCTCGTCTCCCGCCGCCTGGCTCTCGCGCTGGCTTTCACGCTCTTCCCGCCTGCGCTGGATCATTTCCGTGGCCATTCCGAGTAATGGGTACACGGAATACTTGGCTAGGAAATGCAGCGCATCCAGCAAGATGTCTCTAGCCCACCTGAACACTCGACGAATCCGCGTACTGAAGGCCAGGGAAAATGAGACCACAATGAGAGCGACACTCGTCGGAAGTGCGACGGCCCCGATGTATCCTATCGTCGGAAGTTCGGCATCCCACTCTTGGGTATTCATACCAAAGAGCCCCGTAAAGAACGTCAAGGGCAGGAAGATGACGGTGAAGACGGTGAAGATCATGACACTCCTGCTCTGCGCGCTCGCCAGATCCGCATGAAGTCTGCTCAGCCGCACCTCGTCCACCTGCGCCTGCCGCTGCACCATCTGCAGCAGCTTGTCGTAGTCGTCCCGCGTGCTGCGCACACGCTCGTCCATCTCCTCGGCACGGCGCTTGTACTCGCCCACGCGGCGGATGCCCTCGGCCAGGTACGCGCGGCCGTTCATGCTGCGGTCGCGGAGCTGCGGGCTCGCGTACGCCGCAAGCATGGATGTGAGGACGGCGTGCTGGCGTTCGAAGAGATTCAGGAGGACGAGGAGCTCATCCTGGAGGTCGCGGAGTTCCAGAAGGGCAGAGGTGTTGTCGCGGTTCTCGCGCTCTGCGCGGCGGCCCTCTTGCTTGTGACGGGCTCGAATGGTGCGTTCGCCGTTCTCGACGGGCTCGTATTCAGAAGATTTGTCTCGGAAACCTTCGACACGGAACTCCTTGAGCGAGGAGGTGAGTTTCTCAGTCTAAGTGTCACACCTTGTTAGCTTTTGTCCTTTCGAGCGAAGGATCTTGGGCTTGATAGATTCCTACTAAAACACTGATAGCCTCTTCGAAGATGCGGAAGATCTCTAGATCGGGATGAGAGGATCGATCCAAAAGAACACTAACTGCGTGTAGAGCCGCAAGCGCAGCTAGATCCAAGGCGTTCTCGCAGTGGTGTGTTCCATCAACATTGACCTCGTTGAAGATGCTATCGCGAAGATCGGCTTGTTGGAAGAGGGGTCCCTCGATCGGATCACTCTCTCTCTTTGGAAAGAACGAGAGGAGAGTATCTAGTTGCGTTTGTCAGAACAGGCCTTCCATTTTGTTTCACAGAGCGAGGCGGTGACTCGGCGTGATCACTTACGAGACTGGATAACCCAGAGCCACATTTGATCCACCATGAGAACGTTCCCGTTTAGCACCTTATCCGCATCAATCTCAGCACTGGGCTCTTCTGGGGCGTTTCCAAGACCTCCTGTCCTTTCCCTCCAGCTCCTACCGCTCCCGTAGGATCCTTGCCTGCTGCTTGAAGAGTGAGCGTACATGTTGCCACCACCCTCTCCATGCATGTAGTCTCTCTCCTTTGTGAGTTTGTACAACATCTGATCGTCGTCTCTTCCTCTGGTGTCTCTCAAGGATGGATATCCGTACTGGTCGAGTGTGCGTCGACAGTTGATTGGGGGGTCATGTCCCAGGAACTCCCAAATAACCTGCAGCTCAAGCGAGTCTACTTTGGCGATATCCTCGGGTGTTGGCTGGGCGCGGCCGCGTCCCAGGCGTTCAATGATCAGTTGCCGACGCCTAATCAGACGTTTATAAGAATCAAAGTGAAGGTATGGCAGAAACAGGCAGATCGAAATGCCGTCATCGCCCAGAGACGGTGACATGGTTGGGGATATTGAGTGACCTCTGAACGATACTGCGAGGCGTTTTATTAGAATCATAACTGGGAATCATATGGATTCATTGCACGACTTACAAGTTCTCGGTGCACTGAAATAACACCCGGGCTTCGCATAATAAGCATAGTGCTGCGCATGCCTGCCTCTTGTGTGCTTGGTTGCCCAAAAGTCGTTGTTATACAAGGGTGAATAATCCTTTTTATACGAGTTCTGCAAAGTTTCGAGTATTTTCTATTGAGGCGCAGGGGTCAGTTCCTAATTCATTTGATAGTCAGAACCCAGAAGGGGGCAACATACTTTAACCCACGTTGGGTTGTTGTACTGAAGATGAACCCAGATGAATTTGCGTGCACTGATTTCCGGCCTCGATAACGCGACAGGCGTCTGCTCATCTGCAATCGCCGTCTCACTAGATCTGCGATCCGAGTTCTTCGCATCCTTGCGTAGGTTTATCACAGCTTCTGGTAATCGCGGCGACGCTTCCAAGCTCGAGTCATCATCAGAAAAGGCAACAGGCTGCTTATCCCCTGTACTTCTTCGGCTACGGGGCGGAGAGAAGGGTGGGAAATCCCGGTATTCCTGCCTTGACGACTGGTCACTTATAGATCGCCCGAAAGAGGTGATTGAACGTTGCCGCGGCGAGGGCGAGAGCCGGTCAACAGCGAGATCCTGGTCAATGTCCGAGCGAATGAGGACTTGTGGAAGCCGAACGGGGATTGGTGGTTGATGCGAGGAGGTCGACAGTAGATGAGTTGGGATGGGAGGTGTTGAAGCTGGAGACGATATGCGGCGGACTTGGTACGGGCCTGACGTCGGGTAGAGTGAGACGGAGTGAGGTTCCTTGGAAAGGGCGTCAACGGGTCTTAGGACAGGCGACAAAGGCGGCGATGTCGGCTGAATGAGCTGGTTCTTGATTCCGAGACCCTCTTTCGTTATCAAGGCCTGCCTTAGTCTCTGTTTGTCCAACTCTGTCAACGACATGGTCCTCCCCCTGGTGCGGAGGAACCTGCCCTCCTCGGGAACACCCTCGACCTCGTGCAGTCGTTCGGTCAGACATTCCTCTGGCCCCTTTCTTAGGAACTCCTTGAGAGGAAGCCTCGTCGACCAAGCTCGCACAATAGCCTCGGAGTCCCCTTCCTTGGTTACTACCGAGTCCTCGTAGAACCCATGAACCTCGACGTTAACACGCTGCTCCAGGTTCAATGTCCACCGAGACCCTTCGCCGTCCTCGCGCACGCTCTCGTCTGCCTGGTCGATGAGCGTGGCCAGCTGGTGAAGAAACAGCCGCAAGGTATGTGTATTGTGCCGCCCGAATGAGGCTACATTTGCATGGTCGCTTTGCAAGGGGAAGATGCGCTCCTGTCGAATCCCCAGGATGGCTGACTTGATGGAAGCCAGGGGGGCTGTGAAGTAGACAGTCGAACTATCACCCTCACCTCCACTCAGCCTTGACTCGATGGTCTCGTACATGGTCCACACCTGCATATCATGTGCTATACATTTAAAATCCTCATCTGCGTGCAACAGCAAGCGGTTCCCAACGTGAAGCTCGTCCGTGATGGAGGTGGGCAGCGGTACTGATAGCTGAAGCAGGCTCTGGATACTAGACGCAAGCCCATGCATGGCAAAGTAGCTGGACCCTTGATGAGGGGTTCCTATTTAGAAACATCAGCATTCGCGCTTTGTGATAGCAAGGTTGAGGGAGTCGAACATACCGAAAAAGGCCACCCCGTAGCAGTCACGCAGGACATCTTCATATCTAGAATCTCGGTTCGCCTTGGCCAGAGCCATCTTAACCACAAGGCCCCCAATACTGTGTGCGATGAATATAACCGGCCGTTGTTTCGAGGCCTCGCCGCTCTTTCTTCGTTCCACGCTCAACTTCTCCAGTAAAGCGTCCGCCAGACTTCCCAGCGTCGTGCCCTCGACCACGTCTGGGTGGTTATACAAGAGGATCCTGGCGACATCCGCCTCCCTTCTGATGCCCTGCCTCACCCACGACGGCCCGGACTCTGGCCTTTCGACTTCAGCGTCCCTCATAGACGGCGCGCCAAAGTAACGGCTGACCAGCCCGTCCCGGTTCCAGCTGCGCAGGGCATCCGCACCGGGACATGGCACCGTGACGATGTCAACGGTCGTCTCATCGTGGGTTAGCTTGCCGGCCGGGTCACAGATGAACTGGCTTGTTGGAGCTTCAGGCTCCTTTTCATTGATACTTGTGCCCTTCTCTTCACTCTCGTCAGTGCCCGCGCTCTGGGCTTTCTCTGCTTCGGCCTCTATAAAGGAGGCCTGTTGCTGCAGGGTGGATGGAAGCCTAGACGGGCGAGGGGAATTTGGCGGGTTTGACGATAGCGGGTTGGGGTGAAGCAGATTGGCGGAGCTTGCAGGCGCTCGTCCGCTAATAGCAGCGCCCTTGGGTGCTGAACCGCCTGAAACCATAGCCCTGAACCTTCTATATCCACGACCTTCTCAGAGCCGTTCTTTTAATCTTCGAAAGACAGTCCAAGACAGCGACAAGAAAGTCCCGAAGTTGGAGACAATATAGCTTATATCCTAGATTGGAATAGGATCACGACCTAGGCTTCTATTTAGGCAGAGAGTGTACAAAGCAGAGCGCAGGCTTTCGTATAATCTCACAAGTATCATGACTCAACGCTACTACGCAACCACATCACGCTGCCGCCCTCGAGCTCAAGGTCATAACCCGCGCTCTGGCACGGGCCCCTCGGCAGATTTCCAGCATAGGAGACACATCAGGCTCTGTAATAACGGGTCTGGGGGTGCTACCTGGCTACTCGTGATGGTGGTCATCCCCGTGGATGGTGGATAGGCCCGAGGCTCAGCGTCGGGCAGATGACCAAAAACCAAGACCTCCTGCAACCGTCTGGCCGCGTGATGGGACGGGCCAGCGCAAAACGAGGCACACGGGAGCTTCACACCACATAGTGCGACAAATGCTCCGGCGTTAGTCGCCAGGCCGTCATTACGTTATTCTTCCATTTTTACTCTTTCCAGGGTTGTTAGTGGCGCTATTTTTGTTGCGTATTTTTTTTAGATTCTTTCTAGGTAGAACCTCAAGGGATAGAAGCTGCCTTGATGTAGTGTGTAGGTCCACATTCGGTACCGTTATATTATCCCCTCCTCAACTGCCGTATATATCCGTTTGCCTTTTGGCATGAGCCCGACCCAGTACTAGTAGTATTGGCTCTTTTGTCATCTCCTTCATCCATTTGTATCATCTCTCCATCCCTGACGCCCATTCGTATTGCACTATAGAACGCCTTCCTTAAGTTTGACTCGCATGTGGCTTCTCGACACTTTGATCTCTCACTCAACCTTCTTCTCCCCCGTATCGGCCCTCGATGATGCCTCAATCTTGCTTGCCGTTCCCTTCTCCGGGTCGCTGTCCTCATTGTCGGACTTGCTCTGGGTGAAGTAATGCCCAAACGTCCGAGTCTCAAGGTCAGCAGTGCCGTTGACGTCCTTGGTGGCCTGGCGGCGGAAGTACACCCGCTTCGCGAACTTCCACCCCTCCACGCCCATGAAGAAGAGCACCGACTCGACGAAGACGATGCCCCATTCCCACGTGATGCCGGAGTGCTTGAAGACGATGGTGCTCAGGCCCGGGATGTACAGGATGGGGAACATGGTGACGATGCCGCCGATGATGGACCAGAAGAGGAACTGGTTTCGCCAGACGTCGACGAACCACTGCGTGAGGTACCTCGTGCTCTTGGGTTGCATCCGGAAGAAGGATCGGCGCATGTGCAACATCTCCCAGGCCAGGAAGAGGGCGAACCAGGTCAGGGAGGCGAATGTGGTGGCGCGGGCTCGGAAGACAACCTCGCATCCCTCGTCGATGCTCCCGTTGCAGTCCACGCCAATGTCGGCGTGGCCCTTGCCCCATCCGAAGAGGACCAGGAGGAAGGAGGACAGGCAGAGGGCGGCCAGCCAGATACCGTAGAAGATCATGTCACACATGAGCTCAGGAGTGAAGACACCTTGTCGTAGCTAGATAGGAGCGAAGTTAGTATTTGATTCACAGTCGCACCGAATAAGTCGGGGAGATGGATGTATTAAACTTACGTTCTGAGGAGGTCGGCTCATGATCTCAGCAACAGCAGGCTCGAATCCGAGACCCATGTCTGGGAAGCCGGAGGTGATCATGATAATCCACATAATTTCAACAGGCGAGATAGGGAAGACGGAAATACCTTTCCTATCCTTGATAGCCAAACCAATCAAGAGTGTCAGAGCCTGGCCAATGTTCTCAGCCAACACATGCAGAACAAACTTCTGGATATTGTCAAACATTCGGCGACCTTCTTCAACAGCGTTCAGGATGGAAGCAAAGTTGTCATCAGTAAGAACAATGTCAGAGGCTTCCTTGGCAACATCGGAGCCAGCCTGGCCCATGGCAATACCAACATCAGCACGCTTAAGAGAGGGAGAGTCGTTGACACCATCTCCAGTCATGGCGACAAAGCACTTGCGACGGTGAAGAGCTTCAATCATACGGACCTTGGTCTGGGGAGCACAGCGAGCGATAACTAGGGGCAACAGAGGCAATGCATCGATCTCATCGTCTGTAAGCTTGTCAAAGTCGACAGCAGCCATGACCATGGTCTTGGCCACGTCGGCGGCGATCTCGGATATTCTGCTGGGCAGAATGCCGACCTCAAGGGCAATAGCACGGGCAGTTTCTGGGTGGTCGCCAGTGAGCATGTGAACGCTGATACCAGCCTGGTGGCACTGGCGAACTGAGGGGGCAGACTCAGGCCGAGGCGGGTCGTAGAGACCGACAAGACCACGGAAGACAAGATCCTTTTCAAAATCACCACGCTCCAGCTCAGCCTCGTTATCATTGACGTGTCGAATATTCGTCTTGCTAGCGAGAGCAAGAACACGAAGACCCAATCGAGCCATGGCCTCCATGTTCTTCAGGACATCTTCCTTTGCGCTGTCGGGGAAGTCGACGATCTCGTCGCCAATGGCGGCTTGAGGGCACGAGGTCAAGACACGCTCGACAGCACCTTTAGTGAAGACCCATTGTTTATTGGCTTGCTTATCTTCGAAAATGACGGACATCTTCTTAACGTCAGAATCAAAGGGAAATTCGGCAATCTGCCTCCACTGGGCGTCAGGACCAGTGGAGAGGCGAAGTCGGTTCCAGTCAAATCGAGAGGCAAAAACCTGGATGGCAATTTCAGTTGGGTCTCCTCTAGCGTGCCATTCACTTTCGACTTCGGTCACAGAGGCAAGGTTAGCCAGGGAGGCAACATTGAGATAATCCCGAAGAGTTGTGTCCGATTTGGCGAGCTCGGCGCCCTGGATAACATCACCCGCCGAGTCCGCAGATTGAAAGTCGATGTCCTTGGGCTGGCTGCTGTTTAACGAGATGTCGCCATCGGTGGGGTTAAGGGGCTGGTTTGAGGTGCCAACAGAGTAGGTACCACGCCCTGGAACCCAGGCCTTCTTGACAATCATCTTGCCCTGGGTGAGGGTACCAGTCTTGTCAGAGCAAATATCTGTTGACAGACAGCAAGGTTAGTTAATGATCCTAATGTTTGAATATATAGAAGAATCGACTCACTCGTTACAGCACCAAGGGCTTCAAGAGCCTTGAGATTGCGGACAATAACATGACGCTCAACCATGCGCTTAGTACCAGCAGCCATTGTGATGGTAAGCACGACAATAAGAGAAGCGGGGATCATCGAGACACCGGTGGCAACGGCGTAAATAACGACTTGCTGTTCAGAGGAGAACTTATTTGCGCCGAGAACAATAATGGCACAGATAATTGCAGTTCCAAGCAACAGAAGAGCCAGCTTGGACAGCTTCCTTTGCAGAGGAGTTCCGACGTTGACTCCGAGGAAGCGTCCAATGGCATCGGAGCAAGTCAGAGACCAAGCCTGAAGATGTCGGCCAAAGCTAGTTGTGCCATCCTCACGACGCTTGGGTTCTCGGCGGCGCGAGTTCTTGCCTCTAAGCGCCGCGGCGATTTGACCAATCTCGGTATACAAACCAGTAGCAAAGACAATACCCCTAGCTCGCCCCTTTGTAACAGTAGACGAGCTATAAGCAATATTCAATCGGTCACCGGGACCAGTTTCAGAAGGGAAAGTAGAGCCGGTCTCCTTCCTAACGGGAAGAGACTCGCCAGTAAGCAGAGCCTCATTTGTCTCAAAGTTCACTGCCTCGATCAGACGCACATCTGCAGGGATGGTGTCACCGGTCTTGAGTTCCACAAGATCACCAGGGACAATCTCTGCAGTTACCACAGTCTCGTTGTTACCACTGCGAACTGCTTGGGCTGTCGGCGAACTGAGGGAGCGAAGGGAGTCCATTGTTTTTGCAGCCTTGTATTCTTGTACAAAGCCGACAACAATATTAAGAATGATGACGGCGCCGACGACGGCACCCTCAATCCAAGATTGAATACCGAACGAGGCGGCCATGGCCAGAATAAGCACCTGTAGTGGAAGAGTCAGTCATCTTATCCAACTGAGGGGGAGGGTTGGTGATAGTTCGAGACCGGGAGATCAAAAAGATCAGAGGGGGGACTTACAAGTGTCAATGCATTGGCAATCTGGCCAACGAAGATTCTAACAGGCGAAACTTTGTTACCTTCGCCAAATTCATTGCGACCGTGATCTTCCAGCCGCTTCTTGGCGTCATCATGGCTCAGTCCATCCTGTATGTTAGCACCCAATTCCTGGGCTACTTGTTCATATGAGAGTGCATGGGCAGGGGCCGTCATGGGCTTGTTAGACTGGCCCGAGACATGCTCAGCAACAGACTGATCCTCCTGCTTCCCCATACTGCCGATGATGGACCAATATTTCAGGTGTCAGAGGAGTTATGATTGGGAAAGAAACGGGTCGAGTTAGGACCAGTTCAAAGGAAGACAGGAGGCTAGATGCGGTAAAGACTGATGGTTATAGACCCAGTAGGAGACATTGAAGGTCACGACAAGAGGGTATCCGGCTCCTGTGTCAACGTTTCTTGGTCGGATAGTGAAAGAGGGCGGAGAGAAGGATTGTCGAGTGCGGGAGGGCCGGAGTCTTAAGGACCAAAGAGACTTTGGTACTGATATGCATCCCGAATCTAACTTGCCGCCCCGGCTCAGGATTACATGGATGAAGATGAATTACTTTGGATCTGGTGGGGGGGCCCAATCCCCTGTCCCGGTGCCCAGTTGAGCTACGCAATTGCTAGCCTTCAGATAGGCGCAAGAGATAGTAAGAGATGACCGGGACGGTATGTGAGGATGCCACAACCCCAGAGGCTATGATTTCATAGTGTTGGGGGATGTGGGTTTAGCCAACAGCTGATACGCCCCCGGATGCTTGGCACGGTCCAAATTGCCTCTCGCTTCTCAGTTTGCAAGTATCGATCGAATTGACCCAAAACCCTGCTGTGAAACACATGTCAGC